CGCTTTCTACCGCGGACTTCCCCCTACGCCCTCCGCTCACGCGGACCTCTTCTGGCCCCCTCCAGTCCGGTCCGTCATCTCCACATGGCCGACGGTGCGTCACACGCCGTCGACACGGCGATGACCACGACATCGGGCTCCACACCCGTGCCGGCGGACCAGGGCCATCAGCCCCAGGGGGATCTACACAACCTCCTCACCTCCTTCCTCGCGCCCATCCAGGCGCAACTCGCGACCCTCGGACCCCTACAGGCGCAGGTGGCGACCCTTGCTGCCGGCGTGCAGCAACTCCAGGACGCTGGTCGTCCTTCCTCTCCCCATCCTCTCTCGTCTCCTGGCTCTCAGTCCGGGTCCCCAGCTCTCTGACAGGGTGGCCACGACGGAGTTTCCTCCTCTGCCGCCCCCGACATTGTCATTTTGGTGACCGTCCACGCCCCTACCTCGACGACCGCCACGAGTCAGGCCCTTCCTCAGTCTACGGGCGCACCGGCCCAAATTCCGGTTACGACGGCCACGGGACCACAACCCATTACCATGGTCTCAGCGTTTCCGGGTGCCCCGCTCCTCCCCCCCCTTCGCACGACCGCAGCGCCACCTGGCTCTCCCCCCTCTGGGATGCCCCGCGCCGCTTGTGCATCTACTTCCTCGACTCTTCCTCCTGCTACCCCTCGCACGACCTACGTTCGAGGTCTCGAGGACGAGATTGCCCAGCTCCGGGCCAACCTCGCCCTCTTACGCCTTCAACCACCCCCACCCTCACAGGTGGCCGCGTCTTCGGGCGCACCCCCTACCTCCTCTGCCCTTCCTCCCATGCAGGCTCACTTTCCACGTCCTGCACCCTATACAACTCCTTCCTACCTCCTTCCTACTCCCGTAGTTGCTGCGACCTCTTCTACCGCAGCACCCTCGTAGCCTGCCGTTGTTGCCACCGCCGCTCCCTTATGCGGCCCGGGCGCACAGTCAACTGCGCCCCTTTCTCCAGGACCTGCGCTGACTTACTCAGCCGTGGCACAGGTCCCCGCTCCTCGATCCCCTCGCCACCACTACGGTGGCGCACCTCTCATCCGCTTGTCGGACATTGCCTTGTATGACGGTACAGGCATACGCGTGTCTCGGTGGCTGCAATCGGCCACCCGCACACTCCAGCTCATGGGCGCCACACCCGAGACGTGGGTGGGTCACCTCTCAACGCGCTTGCATGGCGGTCCTTTCGAGGCCTGGGAGGATTTCTATGCCTACTCCCTTCGTGAGGGTCGGACTCCGACCTTCGTGGATTTCCAGGCGTTCCTCGAGGATCGCTTCGGAGCCCGATACGAC